TAAAAATCTTCAATTTCCTCATCTTTGGCTTTGGTGGTTGGTGCATAAATTTGAATAATAGTCATATTAACCAGTCTTCCTTGTAGGCATATGGATATTATCCTATTACTGACAGCATTGTACTTCAGGACAGATCTTGAAACATCCTTTGTGATGATGCATGTCACCCTATTCCTCTTCAAATTGTCATTCCCGGCATAGTAGATCATACGGTTGTCTGATTCAAAATGCCCAAAACCAGTCCATTTCAGCTAACTAATGCCTAGGATATTCAGTCTTTATGCGTTTCATTTCATTTTTGACAACTTCTAATTTTCTTAGATTCATACTTCATACATTCCATGTTCCGATTATTAATGGACATTTGCAGCTGTTTCTCCTCAGTTTGAGTCATGCCATGTCAGCAAATGGAGGTCTCGAAAATTTTACTTTATCCGTATCAGTAAGGCTGGTTTTACTCTGATGATGCAGCTCTTTCCCAGTCCTACTTTGAGAGCCTTCTAACCTAAGTGACTCATCCTCTTCCTCTGTACTGGACAATGTTTCCAGACTATTCATAAATTTGCACAGTAAATATCAGACAGTGTTTCTTTGCTATTCATAAGGTTGTCCCTGGCCAATTCTTTGAGAAGTAGATGCCCTCCTCCTTCTTCCTAGCCTGTCTCAGTCTGCAAGCTGGACTGAAACCTGTGCACCATGTACACCCCACTGGGTTTGAAACACCGGTGGCACAGCCTCAAGACTCAGAGCAGCACGTCACCACAATAGGACAAACCAACAGACAAGTCTGTCTCCCTTAGCTGTTGGAAACTTTTCCAACCTCCCCTTACCTGGATCCCTGCTGCTGCCTCCTCACTCTGTCCTGGTCCCCCTGGACTTTTTCTCTCCTTTCCCCCACTTTATCATAAAGATTAAATGAAACAATTTAAGTAAATCACTTAGCATATCATTTGATATATATCCATTTAGGTAATGTCCAACCACAGACACATCTGTGGTCCCATAAGGTTGTACCTCTTTATTGACTGTCTCATTATCTGACATTTCACATTTACAGTAGTAAAAAGTCTATCTGACTATTTTGCTTATTAACAATATACATCTGGCAGTAACAAACACTAAGGTGTAAGGCAAGAGAACTGCTGGCTGTGATGGTTAAGGCTGTGTGTCAATTTAACCGGACCATGATTCTCAGTGGTTTGGCAGTTATGTAATATGTAACATAAAAGTTCCACAAGGATGTAATTTGGCAATTGTGTAATGATGAAATTTGGCAGTTATATAATGATGAGATTTGGCAGCTATGTAAAGATGTAATTTGGTAGCTTTATAATGAAGCAGCTATTTCTAGTTTGTGATCTGATGTGGCCACCTTCCTTTTTTGCATAAAGCCAATTTTCACATAACAACCTGGATAACAATGTCAATAAGTGAGAAGTGGGTGTAATAGAATTCTGAAATCCCAATAGAAGATTGCAACATAGTGAACATAAAAGCTTCCTGCATGGAACATGTGTATTTCATGTCTCTTTGTATAAAAAGGTATTGTACCGCCAGACATACAATAGTATAGTACATGAACCCAAAGCAAACCCACGGCTGTTGAGGCAATTCTGACTCATAGTGACTCAGGACAGAGTAGAACTGCCCATAGGATTTCCAAGGCTGTAATAATTACAGAAGCAGATTGCCACATCTTTCTCCCACTGAATGGCTGGACTATTTGAATCATCAACCTTTCAGTTAGAAACCAAGCACTTAACCACCGCACCACCAGGGATCCCTGGTACAGTACATGTATAACCTATAATACATGTGTCTTGATAGCCACAATAAATGGCAATGTTACTGACTTATGTATGTACTGTATTTTCTGTCTAGAAAGTTTACCATCTAACAGTGTATCTTTGATTCATAGGTAGCAGCATCCAATCTCATGTATCACATGTCCCTTGAGTATTGTAGTGTTATCTCTCTGTTTAATTTTCTTTTGAAAGTATTATTGTAAAGTGCATCATGGCTCTCAAACCCAGCAAAACCAATGCTAATGACAACAGCAGCAAGAGGCAAAGAAGAAATATCAATTTGGAAGTGAAACAAAAGGTTACTAAACAGCATAAAGATGGAAAATCAGTGAATGCTATTGCTCACAATGCAGGCATGTTGCAATCAATGATCACAATGTTCGTCCAAAAGAAAGAAAAACTTCTCCAAGCTGTTAAAGGATTGGCTCCACTGAAGGCTATGAGGCTAATTAAAATGTAGGAGGGACCTATATTAAATATGCAGAAATTGTTAATGACATACATTGAGGACCAAACACAAAAGTGAATCCCTCTCACCACAATGATGATCACTACTAAGGCACAAAACTTGCTCAAGATGCTTAAAGAAAAAGCAGAATCAGACTACAATATGGTGCTAGCACAACATCCAAATCACATAACACCTTATTTCACAGAGAGAGTATTGTGCATGTTAAGTGATGCATGGCTGTATAGCAGGTGCTCAATAAATATTCATTCCTTCCCTTCCATCCTTCTAAATTTCTTAACCCAACCGAGAATAACTAAAGCTCTCCTAGCCAGGGTGCAGGGATAGTGCTTCATCCTAACCAGAACACTGGATTAGAAGTCAGAGACCTGGGCTTGGTCTTGGCTCTGTCATTAATAAAGTTTTTAACATTACTTTGGGCTTCCATTTTTCTCACACTAAACTGGAGGATTGGTTCCTTTTTGTCCAGAGGTTTAGCCAATCTCCAGCATTCCCTTTGGATATAAAATTCTAAAATCTGAAAGCTAGTTGCTTTGAAAGAACAAGAGTATTCTACTTAGGAAAATATATATCTAAGGTTGTCTTGCTAACCAAAGACAATTCCAACCTGAAAAATAAAAATAAATTTTAAGTAGCAAGAAATTAAAATATTGAACATAACCATAAACAACTACAACAACCCATTGCCAGCAAGTTGATTCCAACTCATAGCACCCCTAGAGGCCAGAGTAGAACTGTCCCATAGGGTTTCCAAGGCTGTATGTAAATCTTTACAGAAGCAGACTGCCTGTGGAGTGGTTGGGTTAACAAGCAAGCGAAAACCCACTGAAAATAGCCATTCTTTACATTTGTAATCAGGATACTGAGAAAATAGACTTTGATCATCTTTTGTGGAGTACTTTGATTTTTGTCTAAATTTTCTTTAGTTAAAAACAAAACAAACAAAAAAACATGGTTCCTATAATTTCGCAATTTCATGGAAAGCCTAGAGTAGAAAAATAAGAGTTTTTTAGAGTTAAACGAAGGCAGAATTTTCACTTTTTTTCCATAATCGAGCCAAGACTCCAAATTTCCCAAATTATTTTCTTTCCTCTTGGAGGCTAAGGCTGATGGACTTCCATTTTCTACCAATAAAGGTTAAATAAAACCCCTCACATTGTTAAGTCTGTTAGGGAGGGGGGATGCTTTGTAACTGCTTGTGCTCAAAATAAACCGCTCATATTCTCAAATGTAGAAGGCAAAGACAGCTGCCATTTTGTCCTATTTTTGCCAGAGAAAACTGGGTTGCCTACACATCTGTTTCCCTAGATAGACTTATTGCATAGAAATTCCAGTCGGATAGAAAAGTGTGTTTCTCTGAGACAAGACTGATCACTGGTAGACCCATTCCTTTCTGATGAAATTTTGAAGGGATCTTTTTGTTCTATGTCTGTGCAGGGTACAGAGACCTGAAATGAAATAAAACTGTCCATGCTATCAAAGTCATCCTTTGTTCTAGCTCTTAGCATCTACCTGTTTTTGGAAGAACTGCTTTCATTTCCTACCTTTCTGATTGGGGGACACCTCTTCAAAGAGAGGAGACTCACTGTTCACCTCCAAAGAGTTGTCTGTGAAAAATGAAGGTAGAATTAGGCTCAGAAATAATCCAGCAATGAAACAATTGTTAGTGTGGATAAGAAGAGAGAAAGAAAAAGTTCTGAGATGCTATCAGAATCAGTAGTTAAAGGTGGAGTTCACATTAGACCCCTCAATATGCTGAGCAACAGGGCTTATTGTTAAAAATGAAATTATTATGGAAAATGGCAGGTATTGGTGAGGATGCGGAGAAACTGGAAGCCTAATCCATTGCTGGTGGAATGTAAACTGGTACAGCCACTGTGAAAAACAGTTTGGGGATTCCTCAAAAATTAAACATAGAACTACCATATGACTCAGCAATCCCAATCCTAGGAATACACTCAGAATAATGAAAGCAGAAGCACAAGAAGAAATGTGTATACCAATGTTCTTGTAGCACTATTCACAATAGCCAAAAGATGGAAACGACCTTAATGTCCATCAACGATGAATGGATAAAGAAAATGTGGTACAATGACATATCATTCAGGCATAAAGAGAAACAAAGTCCTCATATATGCCATAACATAGATGGGCCTTGGAAATATTAGGTTAAATATAACATCAGTTGCAGAAGGACAAATAGTATATGATCCCATTTCTACGAAATAGGCAAATGTATAGAGACCAAAGTTCATCAGTGGAAGGAAGGGAGAAAGGAGAAGTCATTGCTTAGGGGGCACTGAGTTTCTGTTAATGGTGGTGGAATATGGGAAAAGAATAGTGGTAATGCTTATACAACATGAAGAACATGATGAATATCACTTAGTTGTACATGTAAAAATTGTTGAATGGGCAAATGCTTTGCTAGATATAATTTTTTTACTACAATGGAAAATGAATCTGTAAACTTCTCACAGATACATGGCACATGAAAATCCCTTTAATCATCTAGTCCACTAACCTACAAGCAAAAGCAACAGATATGAAATTCCACCTAATTTTAGTTTGATACACAATATCTGGCCAGAAAGTAAAACAAACACAGCCCTGATCCACACTTTTTTTTTTAGTTTTGGGCTTCAAAGTATGCTCAATCTATCATTTTTTCTTTTCAAACATGATGCAGTAGTATTGAATAACTTCTTTAGAACAGAAATCATGGTCAGGTTTATTAACTGAGAGTCACATCAAGATTAAAATACATTTTTTAGTATTTTTGTGTGATTGACAATAAATGCTACTTTGGTATTTGGGATACAAGCCTAACATATGTTAATCAATGAAGTCAAAATGTCTCCAATAACCCACACATGAGCACCTTCCTAGGCTTGGCTGAAAACAGTGCTCTGAAGGAATTCCTAAAAGTCCTAGAATTAAAAATCTATTTAAGTCAGAGAACATCAAGCTCAATTGGCATAAGATACTACACAAAAACATTGTTCTACATCCTACTTTGGTGAGTAGTGACTGGGATCTTAAAAAGTTGCAAGTGGTCATCTAAGATGCAACAATTGGTCTCTCCTCTTCTGGAGCAAAGAAGAATGAAGAAAACCAAAGACATGTGGAAACAATTAGTCCAAGGGACTAGTGGACCATGCGATCCTCAGCCTATATGACCATGAGACCAGAACTAGATGGTGCCCAGCTACCACTGTCAATCACTCAGACAGGGATCAGTATAGGAGAGCCTGGATAGAGTGGCAGAAACATGTGGAATACACTCAAAATATGAAAAAGACCAGGCTACTGGTCTGATGGGGACTGGTGAAACCCTCAAGACTATGGCCTCCTAGTCACCCTTCAGCCCTGGAAATGAACTCACTCCCATGGCTCCCAGTCAGATAATAAGTAGGTGTATAAAGTGCTCATAAATTTACACCAGGTAGGTACAATCCTTAGAGCAATCAATGATGGGCAATCAGAAGGGCAATATTTGCACAGGGAGATAGCTCAGAGGGCAGAAATGCATAGGAAAGAAGCACACAGGGAAAAGGTAACCACAGGGAGGAAGTGGGAAGAAAGCTGTTACATTATGGGGATTGCAATCAATGTTATGAAATAAAATGTGTATGAACTGCTGTATGGAAAATGAATTTGCTCTGTAAACTTTCAAATCACTATTTAAAAAAAGAAAGAAAAAGCTATTTAAGTAAAATAAAAAAAGCTTTTGCCTTGGGAAGATTAGAAATTAGATTGTTGTACACCTATTTTTAAGAGAGGTAGAAGGGGGAGGTGACATGTCCCTGCCAAGAAATTCTATTAATATTTTTAAATATGAAAATTAACTCAGTTTATATTTTTTATGAGTAAAACCACACTGAACTTGGCATTAAACACTTGCCCTGAGTCAGATTTTGAAGCATTCATAGTTGGGCAGGGCCAAATCTGATGGAATGTCTCTTACTCCTCTTTTACCCCGGGGCAAAGAGAGGGAAGTAGCATGTGGGCAAAATGCCCACTTGACTGGTAGAACATCACTGCTTTTAATCATCAGTAAAAGCAAATGAGATGCCTGGCTTTTTAATTCTCACCTCTTAATCCTATGCATAAATATGCACATCACATCCTCTCACTCACCTTTGCCTCAGTGTCAGAGAAAGATGATATAGGCACAGTTATAAATCATCTATAGGGGATTTCCAATATCTCAGGAAATAATCCTCTCTGTTATTGGCACTAACTCATTTTCTCTAGGAAAATATCTACCTCATTATGTGCAAGTTGCCATAAGCCAAAGTCTTAATAGTAGAGTAATTTTAAAAAGGAGTCCCTGTTCTGTAGAAGAACCTGAACAAAAGAGAGAAAAACACAGAATAGAATCTCAAATTCTCAGTGGAGTCTAGACTTCCTGGAGCCTTGAGTCTGGAAGAATCTCCAAAACTATTATCCTAAGACAATTTTTTTTTTAATTGTGATTTGGGTGAAAGTTTACAGAGCAAATTCGCTTTCCATACAGCAGTTCACATATACTTTGTTTCATGACATTGACTACAATTAACCACAATGCAATAGCTCCCCTCCCCCTTCCTCCCAATAGTTACCTCTTCCCTGTGTCCAACCCTCCATGTACTCCTGCCCCCTGAAATGTCTCCCTGTGCATAAAAAGCCCTTCTTTCTCCCATGATTGTTCTCTCCAAGGAGTATATCTACCTCATGTACATGTTCAACTCATATGCCTGTCTATTGTTTGGGTGGAAGCCACAAGTGTGGTTTCAATTCCAGACCTGAAAGGCAGCTAGGGAACATAGTCTCATTGGTTCCACCAGGCTCTATTGGACCAGCAAACCTGGTCTCGCCCACCCCCTTTTTTTTTTTTTTCTGAACGATTTTGAGTTTTGTTCCACATTGTTCTCCCTCTCTATCCAGGATTTCCTCCATAATATCCTGAGACAATTTTTAAAGTTTAAACCTCAAACCAAAACTATCCTCTAAAGTCTTCTTTGAAATGAAAAATAGCTTATCTCAATTAACAAAGTACCTCTACTTTGATTATTGTACTCTTTTAAAGAATTATCTATGTGAGATCAAATTGGCAAGGGCAACTCTTAGGAGGCAGTTAGTTTGAGATAATGGTGGTAGAATGATATGGAAATGGATAAGAAGAATGGTAGTATAACCATTATAGAATAGAATAAATGTCACTGAATTATACAGGTAGATATTGCTGAAATGGTGCATTTTTGGTTGTGTATTTTTTATTTTCACCAAAATTATACATATGAAGAAAGGAGTCCCCGAGTGGTGCAAAATGTTAATGCCCTCAGCTGCTAACTGAAATGTTGGCAGTTCAAGTCCACCCACAGTTGCCTCAGAAAAAATGCCTAGTGATTCACTTCTAAAAAATTAGCCATTGAAAACCCTATGGACTTCTGTTAAGGGTGACTGAACAGTTAATTATGATGTTTGAACAACATGATGAAAATAATTAATGTCATTGAACTGTAGAGATGAAGACTGTAGAAAAGGTAAATGTGGTATTACTTACATATTTACCACACACACACACAAAAGATAAAACATGGAGCACAATTCTGCTCTGACACACACAAGGTTACCATAAGTCAAAATCAACTCAATGGCAACTGGTGGTTTTAACTTTCAAAAATACTTGTGATACATCTAAGAGAATAAAATGCCTAGAAATAACTTTAACCAGGGATGTGAAGGACTTACACAATGAAAACTGTAAAACAATACTGAAAGAGATTAAAGAAGACTTATATAAATGGAAGGGTGTTCCATGTTCATGGATCAGAAGGCTTAATACTGTTAAGATGTCAATACTACCCAAAGTGACCTATAGATTCAATGCAATCCCAATCAAAATTCCAGCAGCCTTCTTCACAGAAATGGAAAAAACAATCTTCAACTTTATATGGAATGGCAATAGTTCCCAGATAACTAAAGCAATATTGAAAGAAAAGAATAAAATAGGAAGACTCACAGTTCCTGATTTTAAGCCATACTATACAGCTACAGTAATCAAAACAGCCTGGTGCTTGTATAACAATAGATCCATAGACCAATGGAATAGAATTGACAGTCCAGAAACAAACCCACTTTATCTATAGTCAACTGAATTTTAACAAGGGTGCTAACTCCATTTAATGCAGGAAAAAATAGTCTCTTCAATAAATGGTGCTGGGAAAATTAGAATTCCACATGCAGAAAAATGAAACAAGATCCATGCCTCACACAATGGACAAAACCAAATTCAAAATGGATTAAGGACCTAAGTGTGTAAATTAAAATCATAATATTCTTAGAAGAACAAGCAGGGGCAACACTGTCAGGCCTAGCTTTTAACAATGGAAATAATGTAATAACAAAAGCACTAACAGCAAAAGACAAATTAAATAAAATGGGACTTCATAAAATTAGAAAATTTAGTTCATCAAGAGACTTTACCAAAAAAGTGAAATGATAAGCTACCAATTGGGATGATATCTTCAGAAAACATATATTGAACAAGAATCTAATAAGCAAAAAATATATATAATTGTGACAACTTGACAACAAAATGACAAATAACCCAATCATAAAATGG